CTGCCGTCCGGCTGGCCGCCGTACAGCACCGTCTGGGGCTGCGTCCCCGAGCTGTGCGGGTCTGCCCCGTCACAGCATATTTTGACAAATTGGCGCAAACAGTTGCAACACTCATAGGAAATTAAATGTTCATCTTAACCCAGTAATGCAACTAATTAAATGTCTAAAATTCAGAAATTTATCATGGTAAAAAGTCAAAAATATGATTCTGTTTTGTAATAACAATATTAGCTTTTTGGGTGGGTATGCCTGAAAACCTATGGGTACTTTTTAAAGTAAAATAATTCAAAGCATTTTACTAATTTTCTAAATATTACAACTAATTTTTTTGGTTTTGAAGCTAGGAAGTCTCATGACCCCTTCTTGAAACAGTGACATATTAAAATTGGGAAGTACTGTCTGTCTTGTAACCTTCTGACTATATTTGTTTTGATTAAAAAAAAAAAATGCAAGTACTTTAGATTTGTTTTAAACTCCAATATTTAAACCAATTTTGCTGGAACATTTCAAACAAATTCATTTCTGGTCTCAGACCAAGCATCGGAAGTTTTACTCATAGCTGTGAAAGAGAAAAAAGAGTTAGAATGGAATTACCTTCTCAGTTTTAAGGCAAACAGTGAAACAAAATGAAGACTTAGTTTAAGCACAGATATCAGTATTCAGTGACTTTATAGTATCAAGTTTGTAGGGAGAATTTTGTACAGGTATTTTTAAGTAATAATTTTCAAATTATTTTCCATTTTTGAAATTTCTGGATTCATCATGGTTCATTAAGAATGTCACATAAGCCTTCTGAAATATTGCAGTACCATGGGTTGTAATGAGGTTTCTCTTATTTCTGATGTTTCCATCTGGAGTGTCTTCAGTGAATCATGAAGTACCAGATATCAAGGAATGTATGAGATTTTCAAAGAATAGTTAAATATGTATTCTAGTAATAAATTCTACTCCTTTCAGGTGTCTGTTCTTAAAGTCTCAGTTTTGCTTTAGAACTCACCTGAACCGGTAATTCTTTGGAACACCATAACAAACATTTATATTGCATCTTTTTTCTCTGAGAATCTTCAAGAGTTACCTGTATAATTTTGTGTCTGCGTAGGAGTTATTTAGTCACCATAGAAGTATAGCAGTTGTTTTACAATGTATGACAGCACAGAATGAGTGTAATCTGGTATGACATGACTGCCATTTTTATTGCTACTTTAATTCAGATGGCAAAAACTACAAATTTGTGATACAACAAACTTGTTTAATCTTTGTTCAGAATAGGTTAGCCTGACACAGTTATTTGACAGAAATCTTGTTTTTCATGTTTAGGTCATACAGGAAACCAAATTTAAGCAAATCTACACAGCAGAAGAAAGGTATTCAGTGAAAGTGTCATCTTATACAAACCAAACTATTTCTAGTAACACATCTCTGAGACCAGCGCAGTTTCTCACCGTCACAGTGGATGCAGATGAAAGAAAGCAGTTGGAAAACCAACTAATGGTAGACTGTTTGAGTGTTTAAAAAAGAATAATTAAGTACATAGATTGAAATACTGCCAGTTGTTTGTTCAATACAACTAAATTATTTGGCCTTCATCTGATATGACTGTAATTATGACATTTTTGTGCCATTATTTAATATAGGAAATTAATAGAAATTTGCAGCTCCGGGATTCCCAATTGCGTACATTATTTGAGAGGCAAAAGTGTCTGGAACGCAAAGATAATGAGCTGAGACAGCAAAAGAAAGAACATTTGGAGAGAAAAAACAAAAGGAAACAACTGGAATCAAAAATTAGTATGAAACATGATAGGTATGACTTCTGATGAGCCTGCTTGATTGCAAATGTTTTGCTGAGACAGCATTAAGATGCAGAAATAAGTCTGAAATATTAATATCAGTTATGATTTTGTACATCAGTTACTAGGGCATTTTAATAACAAAATGGAAGTAACAAGCAATCCCTAAAATGTACCTTGGCTACATGTAGTCAGTAGATTCTGACCACATATCGTTTGTTCTTAAACTGAGTTGGGTTTCAGAAATGGAGTGATATAGGTCACTGGTTCCCAATCTGTGGTCTGCGATGGTACTGTAGGGGATCCACAGGAAATTGGGAGCTGAGAAGCTCCATGCTGGTAGCCAGTAAGTCCCTCACCCCGCACTGCTTCCTGAGAAGGCTGAGGGACATGGCTTGGGAAGCAGTGCAGGCTGCGGGACATGCAGGCTGCAGGCACAGCTATATTGTTTGAGGTGTCTGTAAAATTGTAATGGATTGAAAAGGGGTCAGTATGCTGGAAAAGTTTGGGAGCCACTGATATAGGTGATACGCAGACTTGATTCTCCCTCCCTTCACTTGTGAGATTGTGTCTTCACTAGATGGTTGTACACATTAAATACCAGTCTAGTTAGAGCAGTATAACCTTTGTGTATAGACAAACTCTTAATCTGGTTGTTACAAGATAATCACAAGGAAGTTTCTTGGTCTTTGTTTTTAAACATTTCAAAAACCAAACTGAAGCCTCAACCCTAAAAACTTCATCTTCATATATTACCTCAGTACTCTCATGAAACACAATTATATTATTTTTTGTTGGTGAGATGGGAAATTAAGGTACCTTCTAACAAGTAGTACAAAGATAAATGGACTGGCCTAAACGTGGTCATGTAGTCTCCTTCCATTTTAGTGTTACAATGTTGCATTATTTTTCTAGGACATCATAAAGTATAGGCAGTGGCTTCTAAAATCAGATTCAGTTCTGCTTTGATGGCCAGCCAAGGATGGGTTACAGCAAATTAAAACTTCCTCTTCAAAACTAATCCTGTCTCTTAATCTCCAATGAAGACAAATTCCTGAAGTTTCTCATTACAGCTGGTTAGGATGAGTTACGTTGCACTGCTTCAGTACCAGAAAACTCAGTCACCTTTTTTTTTTAAGGTTTATCCTATTGTGGAAAAATATTTGTGTCAACTAAAAGAGAAGTCAAATAATTTTTGAAGCTCTTTGGTTCAGTGTATAAACACTTTTGAGATATTTGACCAAAATTTTGAAACTCAACTCCTAAATAAGTGGCTACATTTTCTGAAGTCAGTGGGAGCTGCAGATGCTCAGCATTTCTGAAAAGCCACTGTTATTTAAAAGCCTAACTTTGGGCAACCAGTTTAAAAATGTAGGCCACAATTCCTAACACTCTTCTGCAGTGAGTGCAATAATAGAAGATAATTCACTGCTTTTTATAAATTAATACATATAACAGAAATTAAAGAATACAACATTAACTCTGCCTTGTAGTATTTCCATGAAGGGAGTGGAAAATCAATTAAATCTGGTCAAGGAACACACACTCTAAAATGCCTTTAGTAATTATATAATCAATGACATCATTATAAGAGTTAGGGTTGTTTGGGTGTCTTAATTGTGCATTTCTTGCCTTAACATGTTCAGATTCCTTACAGGTATAATCTTAACACTTTCAATTTCTTACATTGGAAATGCTTGGTTTGAGGATACTTAGAATATTCTTGTTATATTCTTTACTGTAAAATTAGTCCTGGTTTACACTTAAAACGTAGGTCAATGTTGCTTCATCACTCAGGTCTGCAAAAGTTTTTGCATCCTGTGTAACATAGTTAGGTTGATCTAATCCCGTACTGTAGACACAGCTAAGGTGCCAGAAGGATTCTTATACCAATCTAACTACCACCTCTCAGAGAGGTGGATTACATACATTGATGGAAAAAACACTTCTGCTAATGTAGGAAGTGTCCTGCCTTAGCACTGTAGTGTAGACTAAGGATGTTAACTAGCGGTTAATTTACTAGTCAAGTAGTCAATGGAATTTCCATCGACTACTCGGCTAATCGATAGGCATTTCCACATTCCTCCTTTGAAATGTATAAGAGTTCCTGCTGGGGCTCTTGTACATTTCAGAGGAGGAATGCGGAACTCCATGTTCAACCCGGGGCCAGCAGGAAGTCCCGCTGACTCTGGGCTGCACACGGACATGCCAGCTTTGACTGCAGGACTCCCCAGCTGACCGGGGGTTCCACATGGCATTTCCCTGGGACTCCCCAGCTGACCCCAGACTCCATGTGGCGCTGCCGCTTTGAAACATCACCTTCGGTGTTTCAAAGGGGTAGTGCCTCACAGCTGAGCCCTGGTTCAGCTGTGCGGTGCTGCCGCTTTGAAGTACCCACTCTTTCTCCCCCCTGCTTTGCTACCTCTATCTGATAGAGGTAGCAAGCGGGGGCGGGGGAGACAGAGGAGAGTCAACTAGTCGACTGACTATCCAATAAGTATTTGCTTATCAGATAGTCGACTAGTCCTTAACATCCTTAGTGTAGATATCTGCAGAGCCATAGCTGTGTGACTGTAGTGTCTGTCGTGGAGATATACCCTTAGCAGTTCATACTCTCAGTTTTTATCGTCAAAAGATGTTTGAGTTACATAAGTCTTTTTATTATAGTATCTAGTGATGGTACAATTATGTAGAATAATCTAAGTTCTGGAATAGGATAAATTCAGACTTGAGTTCTGAGAGAGATGGTCTTCTACTCCATAGAAAAACATTACCTTTTATGGAAAGCTTACAGACAATAGAGCAGTGGTCTCCAACCTTTTTACACCCAAGATCACTCAGGACAAGCCAAGATCTACCCAATCCTTTCCCCAAGACCCCACTCCTTCCTTGAGGCCCTGCCCTCTCTGTTCCCCTTCTCTCCATCGCGTGCTATCCCCGGCCCTTATACACTCTCAGGGTATGGCTATACTGCTGCTTTTTTTCGATCCTTCTGTTGGAAGAAATTTTTCCGACATTTGGCCCATCTAGACTGGACCAAATGTTGGAAAATCCCCTTCTTTTGGAAGCCCCCTCATTCCTTGTGGAACGAGGAATACAGGGGCTGCCAAAAGAGCATGTTTGCTGGAAAAACTCCTGCAATCTAGCTGTATCCTCACTGGGTTGAGACAAGAGGTGCAGACTCTGGGGTGTGAAAGAGGGGTTTAGGTGTGGGAAAAGGTGAGCGGTGCAAGCTCTGGGATGGAACTTGGATGCAGGAGGATGTCGAGAATGGGATGCTGGCTCAGAGAGGGAGCTCCAGGCTGGAAAGTGTTGGGCTGAGGTGGCGGTTTGGGGTGCTGAGCAAGCCAAAGGCTTGTGGGTGTGAGGGGGGGCAGGG